ACTTCACGAAGGCTTCAGAAGGTCGTTGAAGCGACGTTCAAAGTATCTTAGGAGGAACCATTGCAAATCCTTTTTCTTAGCTCTTGTTTCCTCTAAGCTTTGAGGTATCTACAACATCACTGAAAGAGCTAGAGCAGCTTAGCTCCACGTATTCCAATAGAGTTAAAGCGTTTAATATTTTTGGTACAAATCAACTGTCGTAGTTCATCCTTTGTCGCATTTTCGGCAATAAGCCGCAAGCAACAGGTTGACGTTATGTAACAGGTCGGTTACACATTTACTAGCTTTGACCTTACAACGAGAGCTAGAACGGTGACTGGGGTTTTTCGTGTAATGTCTTGATAGCGACTGTTTATGTTGCGAAACGACTCAAAACAAAATTCCATCGTGAAAAAAGTTCCACTAAATAATTCCCTTCTGAAATTCAATTCTTAAAGGTTTAATTCTATAATCATTTTGTTTAGTTATGTAAATAAATTTAGCACGACTTGTACTGTTTATCTGAGTGAAAGGAGAGCTGCGGGTTTTCCCTTTCCTTTATTTACACTTTCAAATATGACCGCTTAACAAAAATGCACGGGCTCACTGGCTTACAACCTTGCCGAATTCATATGCAGGCCTGGTCGCAAATCAATCACCCAGATTTATTCAGCAAATAATTTGTAAAAATCATTTTTTTCTTTTATTTCACTTCCTTATTTACTTTTTAGTAATGTGAATGATCGATGCAGATAAGAGGCTTTGTGGTTTTTCTTAAGAGAAACTTGTATTGATCATTGAAAAATACTCAGTTGAGCAAACAGCTCAAGCGTGAAACAGTATTATATACATTGTACTTGAAAAGCGACTTTAGCTGGCAAAAAAAGGCAATATAAAAAACATAAATGTTTATCTTAAACAACAAACTTGTGCTATTTGCGCTTTTACTTTTTGGATGATATGCTAGTTTATAACGTTGAAGTTTTGATCAAATTTGCTTGAGAATGACGTTGATTTCGCTTCTGATTTGTCAATGATAAATAACATTCCTGAAATATTTCGACGCGCTTACTCTTTTCGGTCCGCACAGTAATACTAAATATTATTAAATAACGTTGATGCAACACACGATTTCAATGAAATATTTCACAGGAGATATTAGTATTTTACGTCTTTTAGTAAAATTAAAGTTATTTACACGCACTCCAAATTACTCGTCTTTCACAGTTAAAATACTGGCGACTKTCTCTGTTCTTGGCATTGGACCATTGTCTGTTCTTCAGGACCTTCAGGATCTTTATTTGCCGCACATTCAATCATGGATGACCCTCCAAACATCTGGCACCCATGGGCGATGTCCATATCCTGCAAGGTGACAATAGCAGGCCCTGTTACCTCGAATGACAGTCTGTCACTCAATGAAATGACTGCTTCTGAAAAGACATTGGTGATTAGCCTGCCATTTTGTTGGGTTCTGCATGTAGGAGTGGTATTTTGTTCTATAATGTAAGACAGAGAACTTCTATCACCGTCATAGAGAAAGCCATTCTCCTTAATTTGCCTTAAAAGAATTTCTCCGAGTTCATCTACAGAATAGTCAGGGAAGGTAAATATGTACTTCACTCTTGACTTTAGACCAGGATTAACTTTCATGAAGTCCTCCATCTCCTTGGGATATCCTGCAAAGATCATCACAGGATCCCCACATTCCATGGACGACATCAGTTGGTTAATGGCAACCCTCCCGTAGTCCACTTTGTCACTCCTTGGCGTAAGACGGTATGCCTCGTCGATAAAAAGTACACCGCCCTTTGCCTCCCGAATTTTCCCTTCTGTCTTTTTCTCAGTGGCACCAAGGTACTGACCCACCAGGTCTGCCCTCTGTACTTCCACGACTTTCCTTTTTTTGATTCGCTTTATGCTGTGTAGAAGGTCTATCAATAATAATTAGAAACGTGTTTTAAAAATGCGGACGATACCATTTCTTTGTGGATAATTCAAAATAATACGTATATCTTTATCACCTGCCACTTTTCTCGCAAAGGTCGTCTTCCCAGTCCCAGGGTTGCCTTGGAATACGAAGTGGATCGCTGATTTGTTTTGGTCCACGTTAAAACCTAGCCTTTTTCTCTTCTCGTTGAGTATAGCAGTTTTTGCAAAACGCAAAAACTGCTCCTTGAGGGGCGTCAAGCCAACAAAGTCCCTCGTCTTTTCCTCGATTTTGTTGAAAATACGCTGATAATCCACTAAGTATCACGGAAAAAATATCGCTCAGTTACTTAACTGTTTAGCACAATAACAGTTGTTTATTCTCAACGGTACCTTCTGTTTCGTCGTTATCGGTAATGAAAACGGAGTTGTCTGTATCATTATGTCCAAGCCTGTTAATTAATGTTATAATGGAAAAAATTAAAATTTCAGTAACCAGTGTAAAACACATTACATAGGAAAATGTGCGCGAAACGGGCTGGGAATAACATATTTCGGTTAATCATTTTTTTAGCTTACACGCGCACAGTTTGCTAAAATATGAATTGACAAAATGTATGACAAAAAATAATGAGGACGTACTTTGAAAGAATATCTTTTTGTTTTTGCGTCTCTGGAAAAGGTGCCTTTACAACTATGGAATCCCACTTGTCCACGTAAATGAAGGAAACTTGTAAACAGCGTCAAGGAACGTGCATCTTAATTCTTTCTTAATACGTGCACCTTATCTGCACCGAACTATAGTATCTATAGTGTATTATACAACTTTTCAGTAAAATCAGACGTTTTGATTGGTTGGCTTTCGTGTGTTATCAAAGTATAGATACACGGATTACGTCAAAACTAATTGTTTGTTGTATAAAACAGATAGATCTCATTTTTCCGTGYGTGTGTACTCTAATAGATACACAGATGACGTCAAAATGTAGTGAGAACAACAGTCACGCACTCGACTGCGTCTCGTGCGTATTTTTTTGTTCTCACTACATTTTGACGTCATCTGTGTATCTATTAGAGTACACACGCACGGAAAAATGAGATCTATTTGTYAACTGGTGCAATCTATTAAAACCAACGCACCTCAAAATGATATACCCTACATGCTCTAATACTACAACTCGCAACATCGCTTTCCATACTAGGTTTTAAAAACCAGTTCTCCGCAGCATTTTGATGGTTTTGAAATAAGGATACTGGATAAATCGCGATGCTCTCCACCTCCTAGGTCATTGAGGAGAGTGTCTGTCATTTCGACTTCGTACGTTTTCAGGTCATCGTAAACAATCCTGTGTAAAAATTTGAGTAGTAGTAAAACCATGGCAATCTATACTAATGTAGGTTTACATTTCCTACTCCCTTATTTTCAAATCATTTGGCATAGCTTTACATGACATGAATATTCGCAAAATGTTTTTGCATACCAAGTATCTGAAGACATCTCAAGACGGAGAACAGTATAGAAGTGGGACCTTCTTCGAGAATGCACTACCATTCCATACAACAAAGAACTGTTGTCTTCTGTATCTATGGAATGGATACATTCATCCTCTGGTTTGAGGAGGTCCAAGTGTGGGATGGCAATTGGTATTTTTATCATTCTATGATCCTGCAAAAGCATGATAGAATTGTTTATTTTTTATATTGATGCGCTATATATGGCAATGGCAACAACGTTACTTCAAGATCATGACGTATTATATAATAATAATAGCATAATTTGAACAAAGAACAACGGGGCACAAACACAGGTAAATTAAAAAAAAAACAACACAGGTAAATTAAAAAAAAAAAACAGGTAACCTCTGGTTTTTAGAAATGGAAAGAAACGACAACAACATGGAAAAAGTACTTGCCGTTTCATGACAGAGAGGTTTTCCCCTTTGTAAGCATAACGCCAAGACACTCGGTGGCAATTCCCAAGCAGCATGCTTTGTGCAGTACAWGTTTCCGTCATCTAGAAAAGTTGAACAACATTGGTGTAAATTATTGGACGTTGGTGTAAATTACTGTAGCTGTAAGTTAACTAACTGTAAATAACTAACCTGAAGAGTATTTTCTCTTCCACTCCGAGGACCATTTCTCATTTGGAACTTTTTCTGAATCCATCAGCACTACGTTAAGCAAGTCCCTGATTGATGGAGTTCCTTTTGTAGCCGTTGGGATTCCGATATGATGAACTGGTTTGTCTTTATATAGATAATTGGATGTAAGGAGAATCTGAGAATTTCATGCGCGTAAAAACATTCCGTGTTTAACATTGTCTATTCGCATAAGTACGTAAGTATAGAGTGTTCTTAATTCGTACAGATTTGGGGAAAAAGGATACTCTGGCCGCTTTCATCCGCGCTTTCAACAACTATCTCTTGAGAAGTGGATGAATTCAGTGTGATTCTAGACTTCGGCTTCCCAMAGAAAACTTTGGTTTCGCTATCCTTTACCAATAATCAATCAGTCGATTAGCAATATGAAATGAAATGCTCAAAACTATGAATGCACATCCTTATGGGAAGAGCATTCGTGTAAATTCTGAGTTAAACTAAATTGTAGCAAACTGATCAAACTCCATACCATATTCTCTTGTGTGGAAGTTAGGTAAAAGTAAGTGCTCATGTAGATAGAATACAATGCGTACAAACAATGCCAAAATTATAGCCTGCATAAATTGT